ACACGTCCTGGGGCAGCCGTCCGATAAACACCTCGGAGCCGGCGGGCGGCGGGCTGCCCACCCAGCCTGCAGAGGAGCGTGGGGGAAGGCACTGTCATCCGACGGGATGCGAATCCCACTTCCCAGCGCCGACCGTTCACCCAACGGGTACACCCGGGCCGCAGGGGAATGAGGTGACCAAACTAGCAACAGGGTTGGCGCAGAGCAGGTGCACCCTGGGGCTGGCTTCCCCTTCCCGACCCAGGGCGGTGTGTGGAGGACCCTAGCGAACTTCGCAATCTGCTGGGGTGCAAGTCTGGCCCCTGAAGGGTGCCGCGCGGCAGTCAGGCCGGCGCAGCGGGGACGCACGCAGGGACTGGGGCAGCCGTACCTGGGGGTGGCCCGCCATACTTCCTCTGCCCGTTCACCTGCACCAGGCGGACGCCCGTCTCCCTGACCCACGCCTCCAAGGCCGCCTTGTTCTCAGGATTCACCCTCTCACACCATTGCTGAGAGAAAAGGCAGTTTGGAATTGCGCAATGCAGAATCCCCAGCCCCTCGTGGATTTAAGTTTTTGTGGCCACCACCTACGCAGGCCAGGCCGAACTCCGCCGCCGCTCCGTCACCTACCTCACATTCGCGTTTCGACTGCATGGCTGTGCTGCGGCCGCGCCCTTAACCTCTTTATAAGTTTCTCCTTCTCCCTCAAGGCCTAGGTCTCTGGAAGCTTCTCTACCCTCTGCCCCCAAGCGTTCATTGGCTCTGCGCAGGCCCCGCCTCCGGGGGGTGGGGCTGCACGTGCGCCCCCGCCCTGGGACCCTAGATGGAAAACTAGAAACTCTGGCGAGAAACGGAGGAAGACAGCCCCCTCCTCAGGAGGGGCTCCGAAGGCGGAGGATAGAAGCTGGAGGCGAAAACCACGCAGGCGCCCTTCACCCTAGAGTGTCTTCTTCCCTTTTCCACCCATGAAGTGATCTGAATGGGTGGCTCAGGCTCTGGTGGGGAAGACTGAACAAGGAGGCATCAGTGACGCATGCTTCAGTGGTTGAGGCATTTTATTGGACCTTTGGCTACAGGAGTGGTGGGAACGCACCTGCTCCATCTGGAATAGGGCCCTCCTGATGACGCCATGTCAGGCCTGTCTAAGTAGCTCAGGCTACTCACTAGCTAATTTCCCCACTCTAGAAAGTGGTGTAGTACCTGGGCATCTTTGCCAGTGATTACTACAATCACAATAAAATAAGTCTCTGTTCTGACCACTCCTCAGGTCTTCTTACTGGAACAAAAGTGTGCAAAAACTGTTTAAGCACAAATGAAGTTTTAGCCTCAAATAGTGCCAGTCCCACCTTCCTCTGATAGTTTGCATGGCTCAGCAGATACAGAGGGGCTGGCTTGTTCTTCTTCTGATTTCCTCCACAAGATCTTCTCTTTGGACATCCACCTGGCCAGGATGAGGGAAGAAGGTGGTATGAATATCTTCCACTCCAGTGTTTGTTAGGTCAGGACCCAATCAGACACACCAAGAGACAGTGCCTCCTATGTGGGGATTGGAGATCTTACCCCACACCATGAACACAGTAATAGATTAAGCCCTTCAGTCCTTTACAAGTTAGTACTGTATCAGGCTCAGGTCTCACATTGGCAGGGGCCTACCAAAAGAGCACATGTTCCTTATCCCCTAGCCTTCCTGACTTTCCCCCTTACCTCTTCCCTGGTGGCCACTGAACGCAGCTTGATGACCCCATCCTTAAGCTCCTGCTCGCCGATTATGGCCACTAGTGGGATGCCTGCTTCCTCACAATACTGCAACTGGTTCAATAACTTTGGGTTCTTTTTGTACAGCAGCTCGGCCTACAAGGAACCAGAATAGACAAAAACTGGCTTCTATTATCTTCAGGGACCGCCTCTTAGGGGGTCTACGCTGGCACTTTGCTATTAGCTCCACCCCAAGTAGTAATGACAAAAGGCACTACGGATGAACTATCAGTTTGTACCTAGACCCAGGTCTCCTACCACTTTGGGGCTTGCCTCCTATACCTTGATACCAGCATTCCACAGCTCTGAGACAAGCTTCAATCTTTCTTCCAGTAGCTTCTTCTGTGCAGATGCCACAAGCACCTGTGTCTCTGTGGTCCGTACCTTCTCCTCTGAAGCCTAGTAAAGGAGCAAATATGAGTCAGAGAGCTGGGCTAACAACAACAAAGAGCAAACAGGAAGTCTCTAGTCAGGATTCTGAGAGACTAGGTCCAACTCAGCCCCACTAGGAGAGGAACCAGTCTTCTCATTTAGCAGTTGGGCATAAGGTAGCTTTAAAAAGATTTAAGAAATAAGTTAACTTGGACATGACTTGCCAGAATAAGTAATCTAGGGCAATGGCAAAGGGAACTTAGTTACATTCACTTCAAGCTTATCTCCATACAGCAAGTTATGGGTTCAGAAAAACATCACATGGAAGAACCACCATGGGCCCACCCTGAAAATTACCCCTGGCATTCCAGTCCCCACTTACTATCTACTCGCCATTCATGAGACCATGCCTCTCATGGGGCTGACCTCAAGGTGTGTGTGGATGGGGAGTAAGGGAGAATGCTGATGGTGCTTCTTGACTTTTATGCAAAAACTAAGATGCATACTGGAACAGTGATGTCAACTGAGAAACTTAGGTGGTGTCCACTCTAGAGAGAAGGAACAGGAGTATTGGGAAGGATGCCACAACACTCATAAAAATTAAATTCAACAAGCCCTTTAAGAGCAGTAGCAACACAGGAGGGCTTGAGGCCACAGTGGTGGTTTTCTTAGTGTTACTCTAAGTGTTAAGAGTCAAGGCAGCCATGAGGGATCCCAGGGCCTGACGTATGTTTCCAACTGAGAGGCAATATTACAGAGTGGTTAGGAGCCAGACAATGGAGTTTACTGCATAGATTCAAATTCTGACTCTACCACTTACAAATTTCATGACCATGAGCAGTAAAATGTTAAGTATTCTGTCATGAGGAAGATCTGGGTTATGGACACAGCAGCCTAGATTTCTGACAGCCTCAGGGCAAGTAGGATCCAGAGAGAAGATCTAGCGGAGAAACAAACATCAAAGATTCACAGAACTAGCCTATAATAATGGGATGAGACTGTAAGGTCAGTGATCATATCTTGTCCATTTCTCTGAGATGCTGCTTACCCTTGGACATGAGAGACAGCTGGAGCATCACCACCTGCCTAGACTGTCCCGAAGACCTACCTCCAGTCTCTGCTCCACAATGGAGAAGATTCGCTCCACTCCAATGCTGAGCCCCACGCACGGCACCTTGCGCCCTTTGGGGTCAAACATGCCCACTAGCCCATCATAGCGCCCTCCAGCAGCCACACTGCCCACACCCTGGGGCTCTTCTCCTGCTTGGGCTGGAGTCTGTAGCAGCACAGCTTCATAGATCACCCCAGTGTAGTAGTCCAGACCCCGAGCAAGGCTCAGATCAAAGGAAATCTATAGAGACAAGGACATGTTCGGTATCAGATCAACACCAGAGACCTGAAGGCACAGAGCTCAGCCTGGACTCAAATCTACAACTTGACTCACCTTGTCAGCAATGCCAAACAAGGTCAGATACTCAAACAGCAGCTTCACATCTCCCAGACCTTCCATGGCCTGCTTGTTTTGAGACAGTTTAGGATCTTGGAGCAGCTGCTCCACCTGGGACACTCCACCTGGGAAGATAAATTTATGAGGCAGACCAACAAGAAGAAAAAGGCAGAGGGTGTACACTTTTAGTCACCTAGACTGCAAGTGCATGTGTACATGAGTATACACAGAGTTTTAACATTAGATCTGTGGGTAGTGGAATGGCTACTGAGGAGGAAGCTGGGTTCTGTTCCTCACCATGTTGCTGGACATAGTCCCCAATGCGGTCAGCCACCTCAGGTGCAAGGCCCTTCTCTCCCACCATTTCATTCTTCACATCTTCCCAGGACACCTGGGCAGACATATGATAGTCAGGAATTCTGGAGCAGTTTCCTTGCCACAGAGCAAGTGTGGCCCCTCCTTGGGGAGCGGTCAGAGTAGAAGTTGCCCTTTAACCTACATCCTGGGACTAATCTCTTCAGGTGGGCATGGAGGCAGATTCCTCTTAGTCCCCCCCGCCCCATTTTTGATACTGACGATTGAATTGATGGCCTTTGCACTAAGCTAATATGCCCAGTTTTGCTTTTTTTTTTTTTTTTTGGTATTGGGGATTAAACTCAGGACCTTGCACCTGCAAGGCAGGCAGCAGCAGCAAATATTCTATTTTGAGAGAGAACCCTATTAAGTCACCAAGTTGCCCAAGAGTTGCAACCTTCCTGCCTCAGCCTCCCAGAGTACTAGGACTGCAGGAATGTACCACAACACCTGTCTTTTTTTTTTTTAGGTAAGGTGTTGCTATGTAGTTCAGAATGGCCTTGAACTCACTACTCACTATGTAGCCCAGGCTGAACTTGAACTCAAAGTGATCCTCCTACCTCATCGTCCCGAGTGCTGGGATTACGGGTGTATGTCACCTTGCCCAGCTACATATCTGTCTTGTTTTCTATTTCTCAAGGCATGGTGGGATCTGGGAAGAGAAGAGTGAGGTATTTAAATAGTTACCTTGTCCAGCTTATCCACTGAGGAACAGATGGTACGGAACTTGCTATCAGGAACACCACAGATGGCAAACATACCATCTAGGATGCGCCGGTCATTGACCTGTGGGGACCCAAGGCATCATGAGGACATTTCTGTGACCCTCAATAGCCTTTGCTATTTGTCCCTCTGCCAGACCCAACTTTGCCCTCCCAGCCTTATTCAGCTCTGACCTTGACCATGAAATCTCCTATCTGAAGTGAACTCAAGATCTCACACATGATCTTCAGGCACTCTGCATCAGGGATCATAGGGTCAAATTGCCCAGCAATGTCAAAATCCTGTAGGGAAAAGGGTAACCAGAGTTTTGCAGGCGTTCAGTGGCCTTAAGGGGGAACGTGAGAACTCTGCTGTCTCTAAGAAGGCCTGTTTGCATACATAAGCAGACTTCCCTTCTTTTGCTGGCCATTAGCCCAGAAGAAAAGCCCAGCATTTTTGGGCCTCTCAACAAGTCCTGGTGTCCTTTTCTACTGGGCTATTTTTCATTATCTACTTCATCTTCTCCCTGATTCCTCGTACTGTGTAGGACAATTATCCAGTGTTAATCCTTATTTTTTTCTGTTCATCAGAAGTCATTTCAGTCTTGATGAGTTGATATCTTACACCAAATTTTCCCATCCTCTGTTATGATCCTATCACTACTTTAATATAAAGAACAATGAACACAGATTGCCTGTCTTATCCCTATGACCCCTCATCTGTTGAATATCAAGTTACTTTTATATATAAAATGGAGAAAAATCTCCTCCCTACTCCACAAGACCACTGTTAAATCTACATGAAAATACCATAGAAACCTATAAGTATTTTCTGGAACATCCAGTTTGCTCAGAAAACTATAATACGCAATAGATTCCACTGGCTTGAGGCAGGGCCTGAGTTACCCACTCTCCTCCCCGCCGACCCCATTTTCTAACACTCACACACTGGTAGAATTCCCGGTATCGGCCACGGGTCATGGCTGGGTTATCCCGTCGGTACACTTTTGCTATGTGGTAGCGTTTAATGTTGGTCAGTTTATTCATTGCCAAATACCGAGCAAAAGGAACCTGATGACAGAG